GGGAGGGACTTTAGCGCTCCCGCCTCCCTGCTGCTGCTACCCACAGGTTGGTGGGCGGCCAGACCCCAAAGACCGCCAGGCACCCCAGCGAGCATCCGCCAAGGGGATGCAAAACGCTCACAGGAACACGCCATTTTTACATTCTACTCACAACTAGTTCTGCTGCTCATTCCGGAGGAAAAGTAACCTCAGGCCCACGTGTCTGCTTTCTCCTCGCAGCAGAATGTGCCGATGATGTTAGTTGTTTGTGGCACCGTTTTCAAAAGCAAAGGTGGGGCTGACCTCTCCGTCTCTGTGTTTTGCAGTACAAAATCGGACAGCTGTACATGATCAGCAAGCACAGCCACGAGCAGAGTGACCGAGGGGAAGGCGTGGAGGTCGTCCAGAATGAGCCCTTCGAGGACCCTCACCACGGCAACGGGCAGTTCACCGAGAAGCGTGTGTATCTTAACAGGTAAGGAAGTGGTGGCAGCTGGGGTCCCACCTCAGGGCTCTCTCACCACACAGGACCCCCCACTCCCTCCCACCCGCACCAACCTGGACCCACTGCACGACTGAGGTAGAGGTGGCGTCTGAGATAAAGCCTGAAAAAGTCATTACCACCAGCCTAGTTGCTTCCAAAAACAGAATCCCCTGTGTTCTGCCAAATAGTCCTCAACTGCATTTCATTAGGAGGAGTTTTTCTCCCACTTTTCCCGCCCCTTCGGTGGTGACACGTTAAAGTGAAATCTAATCTTAAGGATTAAAGGACTCAGCTTTCTCCCTGGGTTCAGTGTTAGTGGCAGGAGAGAGATGGCTCTGCCTGTAAGGTGCAGAGAAGTGTTGAAGGTGGCAGTGTGCCATTGGGGTCTTGATTTGGTAAGGTTTCCACTTAACTGCCAAGTGACCGCTCAGGTGTCTGCAAAGGGAATCGACAAAACCTTCCCCTGTGACCAAAGTGCTATGCAGCGCTAAGGTGGTTTTCATTTCTTAAGCGGACCCATCCTCCTCAAGGTAGAAGTGTCCTCTCTCCTCTGGAAGGGTGAAGATTGGGAGATTAGAAGTCAGCACTAATCAGGACTTCCGTTTCTGCTTTGCAAAACGCATTCTTTTATCTCCTGCTGTGTTTCCTTTCACTCTTGATTATTGGGGCTCGTCTGATCTTCTCCCCTCCCAGACACCCCCCTCCAGCTTATTTTCTTCCTTTCACTTCTTTTCCGGGTCAGAAATTTCTAGTCACAAGCCATATGGACTATATTTTATGGAAAGTAACACTCGATTCCCGTAAACCAGTGTATGACCAGTCTGGTCTTTGCTAATCATTTTCATGAATACTCTTCACCCCCCACATACGGCCTCTCCAGTTGGCCCATATGTGATTATTCAGAAAGGATTTTCAACATAATCGCTGGACAGTTTGCCCCCCGTTTATTCATCAACACTCGTGAATATTTGTCCATTCTCCATGCCTTGGCCATGGTTAGAGGTTTCTGGGAGGAGCCATCTTAGGATTCCAGCCTCCGACAGACTGAAATGGACTGTTCCTTCTCAGTGGGAGAGTTTGGTTCCTGTCACTTGTGCGTGGAGATCTCTCAGGCCAGTATCCTGACTGTGAAAGCCTCGGGCTGATTCAACCAACTCATTTTTTAATCTGCCCAGGGGATGCAATACCAGGGAATTCATGAATCACAATGAAATGTAAATTAGATTGATCCTGTTCGGCTGCTAGTGGCTGTGAATTCCCAGGGTTGGAACCAGTTCATCTTCGGAGCCAGCTGTTGATTTGCGGGAGGAGCCGAGCTCCAGTCTCGCCTGGGGATGGCTTTCTTACAGAGACAGGTTTCTCAGTGTGCTGCTTTGCCGTTGTTAGTGTGGACAGTGTAATTCAAATAACGAGCAGAGTTCATCTCCGTAGAGCAAAGAGAAGCGAGGGAGATGCAAGAAAATAGAGACAGACCCACAGAAAATTTCATTTCTTGCCAATCGATTATTTTCCCAAGTTTTTGCCCGGGGACTATTCTTTATGTACCACATTTGAGAAAAATTTTAGAAAACTTTATAAATTTTTCTGAAACAGGACAAGAAGTGTCCAGCTGTCTCTGTCATGTCTGTTTCTTCTATCACAATATATGATATCTATTTTAAAGGAGAATAATAAACATCAGTAAGAGGGAAATTTGTTATAAATAGGAGTTCCAGGAATAGGAACTAAAAAGATTAATGTGGACCTTCCCCCACCTCGTTTGATAAACACAGGATGGAACATAACAATATAAAGCCGAGTTCCAAACAAAAACAGGGAAATCCTCAGGTACTAGAAATAAAGAGGAAGCTCAAACCAGAGTGGAAAGCAGATGAGCTAATGCTAAGGAAGTCTGAGAAGGTCAGAAATGAGTGTATACCCCAACATCTAGGGGGTGCCATGCCCACGAGGGGACAGGAAATGTGGCCTTGGCCCATGAAAAGGGGGAATTGGAACTGAGAATTGAGCATAAACATTGTTTGTTTTGAAGGTCAAAGGCAGAGAGGTTATTACTCAGAAATGCATATTGAAAGAACTACTAAAGGATGTACTTGAAGTCAAAAGAAATTGAACTCAGGAAAGAGGTGGGTGGGGTCTAGAAGTAATAATAAACAAAGAAGTTGGTAAACAGCTGGGCAAATCTGAAGGAACATAGAATGTTTTGAGAGTACTAATAATAATTAGGAGTGTATTTGTGGAATTTAAATGCTAGACAATAATAACAAGATGAGAGGGTAGTAATTATAATAAAAGACACTAAGTTGCTAATATTATTTAGGAAGAAGAGGGAGGTATTCATTAATTAAAACATTTTACAGGCAAGTGTACATATTCAAAATGTAAAGATAACCTGTAAAGGAGCAGTACTACAGTATATAAAGTCCAAGAGAACACTCGATCAATCCAATAGAAGGCAGAGGAAAAACAAAAAGAATCCTATAAAAAGCATGGCTAATAGAAAACCTACATTTTGATGGTAAGATAAATTGAAACATATCAGTGGCCGCAATAAAGCCATGTGAGTTAAATCCTAAACCTGATCCTAGATCAACAAATATATCACAATGCTGACAAAATCACAAGGAGCCTAAAGTTATAATGGCTGATTTTATCAAACTTATAGATCAAGTAGACGAACAATTTAGCAAGTACAGAGAGGTAAACAACAGAATAACAAGCTTAATCTAGCGGGCACTAATATATCCAAGAATCAACATGCTTTTCAAACACATACATGTAAATGTACACAGTAGGCCGGAAATCAATCTCAACAAACACCAGAAAATCAATATCATGTAGATCTTATCGGTTGATTACAAAAAGAAATCGATAACAACAACAAAATAAACTTTTTCATCATACAGAAATGTAAAAAATTCTAAGTATCGTCTGGGTTGAAAATGTCAGATATTCAGTTTTGTGACCAAGTTCCAGCCGGTGAGGTGTAAGATTTTCCTCCCTGATAAGAAGAGAAAGATGTTCAAGAGAGGCACAATCTGCTTCTAAGAAAGGGAGGAAATGGATGGCGACTGTTGGGAAGGTACCCGATTGTGCCGCATGAACCTCGACAGCAAAACCGAGCAATAACGGTGCGAAAAGGAAACTTCTAGACCCATCTCAGTTAAGAACACAGATGTGAAAATCTTACATAAAACGTTAGCAAATCAAGTACCTTGGACTGTGATAATAATAATAATAATAATAATAATAGTAATAATAATAATGATAATAATAATAAAATGATAATAAATCATGACCTGGTCACATTTTTCCCTGTTAACATCAATATGAGAATTCGACAAGATTATTGGGTATAAAATCCATATATAAAAATCACTAGCACTATTATATAGCGGGAACAATACATGGGAAATATAATATTAAATATAATATTAAAAAATTCAATTTAAAAAAAAATTTCATTTACAATGGAAAAAGAATAGAAAGAGAAACAAAGATACCCAGTAACAAATCTACAAGATATACAAAATCTTTTTGGAGAAAAATATAAAACATTAGTGAAGGACATTTTAAAAACCCTAGACAAATGGCATACTTCATGGGTGGGAAAAGCTATATTATAAAGTTGCCATCAATTCCCATATTTAACGCATATCTAAGTAAAATGCCAACAGTGTTGTATTTTAAATGGAATTCGAGAATATACTCTTAAAATTCCTAATTACTATAGCTTTATAAAGAGCCTTGCTATCTAGAAGGGCAAGTCCTTCCTACTTATTCTACTTTTTCAAAATTGTTCATATGAATTTTAGGATTAGAAACCTAAGTGATGTGAAAAATAACTGAAGAAACCAAGAACATTTAATCTAGAAAAGCTAGATAATGGATAAAGCTGGGTAAT